ACAACACCGTGTTGTTGCATCAAGATGGCCAGACTTCCGGTGATAGATTTTCGTACGATATTTTGTTTCCCCAATTAAACCCATTTCTAGGACGAGTTGCTCAATAACCATACACGTGCATTTAGCGCACGATCTATATTTAAAGAAACTGTCATTAGTATACATGTACCATCACCAAGAAGCAATAAGTTCACGGTTTTAGTTCCTCACTATTGATGCAACAACACCAAACCGAAGATGCAACAACACTCCTCTAGATTTGAGCATTGATGCAGCAACACCAATTAATAGTATAATTTCAGAAGACCATAAATCTCGAGAGGAACAGATTTTTAAATGTTACTATTGCAACACCGTTACCCATTACCCATATTTGCGTTCTTCTCAAGGCATTCAAAATACACGTCCTGCGGGCGAAGATCCTTTATATGTATTTTCAAAAATTTATACTTTTAAATATTATAATGTACTGAACGTTGTTCTATAACATAGTTCAATCGCGTTTAAACATGGCAAGCTTTAGTAACCCAATCTATTTTCATAAACCACTGCTCCATAGCTTGATGACCCTGACTCCAGTTAGTATCATTCAAAATGGTGGACAAACATCTTTCGTTCTCGGTAAACATGATGAGCTATTGGAAATTATATGTCATCCATCTGTGGAACAGTGATAAACTAGTAGATGTACGTTACCACTGTTTATCAAATTATAACTAAAACAGTTTAACGGTGACATTCGTGAGCTTATGTTGATGGGATGATTGCTTCATCTATGATATAATATGATATGATTCTTTATTTCCTCCAATTTGGAGAGCCAACGTGTAAAAACGTCTAATTGACTTTATTAGAGAGGCCGTTTAGTTACACGTTTAATGGAAATCTTACACGACGCACATGTAGAATTATTGCTCTCTTTGGATTCCTTCTCTCCGACTGAGTAAAAAGGTAAACAAAAGTGATAAGATTTAGGGTCCAAAAAGGTAAATTGATAGAGGTACAGTTATCCCAGATATCCCGGGCCCTCGGGAAATAGCATATTGTCTCTCGGAATAAAACCAATATTGAATCCCTCTCAGTAAATAACCTTTATATAATAGCATTGTATAACTGCAATATCATTAAACCAACACTCATCCTATACAACTCTTAAGAACGATGTACAACTCCTGGATAGCGTAAACTCCTGAGCAGCGTATACAACTCTTCAACTTGATATATGACATCATACTTTGGGTGGGATAACAAAGGATATACAATATACAATTGTAGACCTCTCTAGAGGTCAACTGGCAAAATTGTATACCGATACTGTAATCCTTGAAAGTTCGGAGGTCGAGGTCAACAGTACTCTCAGGGTTTACTGTTGAGGTATACATTTGGCCAGTTGACCGAATAGAGAGGTTAACAATCGTTTGTTAGTCCGAAGAATATAATAATTTGAAGGATATAATATACAATTGTAGACCTCTCTTAAGGTCAACTGGCAAAATTGTATACCGATACTGTAAACCTTGAAAGTTCGGAGGTCGAGGTCAACAGTACTCTCAGGGTTTACTGTTGAGGTATACATTTGGCCAGTTGACCGAATAGAGAGGTTAACAATCGTTTGTTAGTCCGAAGAATATAATAATTTGAAGGATATAATATACAATTGTAGACCTCTATTAAGGTCAACTGGCAAAATTGTATACCGATACTGTAAACCTTGAAAGTACTGTTGATCAAGACCAGAGGTCGAGGACACTTTTGCCAGTTGACCGAAAAGAGAGGTTAACAATTGTTCTGTTAGTCCAAATAATATAATAATTGGCCTGGACGAATATATAATCGAATATCACGTGAACATATTTGATAAGTAAAGGTATCATATTTTAGCAAAAAATCCCCAAACCGTCGAATACTTGTAATTTTTTACACAACTTATTTTTTCAAAATTAAAAAAAATTCAACATTAAAAAAACAATTTTTCAAAAATAGGGGTCAACAGTACCTAGTAGTGGTCAACAGTTTACAATTGTTGACCTCCCCAGAGGTCAACCGGAAAAATTGTATACCGAGACTGTAAACCGAAAAACTACTGTTGACTGAGACCGAAGGTCGAGGTCAACAGTAGTTTCATGGTTTACAGTCGAGGTATATGATTTTGACGGTTGATCGAATGGAGAGGTCTACAATTGTTTTGTTAGTCCGAGTAAACTAATACTACACATATAGACGACAATCATCAATCGGCATGGCTTCATTTCACAACCTTTTCTCCGAACCACGTTAGCAATATTTTTTTTAGAAAATATGGAGACAGTGCAAATAGCTTAACTCTGTATTTGGCACATCACGGCGTACTCGTTACTGAATTAATGTTAATTTTAAGTTTCTATTTGTATTTTTTGCTATACTTGTCGCCTAGTAAAGTCATTTTCATCAACGTTTACAAAATGTCCGTCCTCCATGTTTTTTTGTGACATCATGAAACTTTTTTCAGAAGTAGAGGTCAACAGTACCTAGTAGCGGTCAACAGTACATAATTTTGACCGCTAATCACCCAATCAGAATCGAATATTTCAGTTGAGGTACTAACAATACATTTTGTTGCCCGCTCATCAACCAATCAGAATTGAGTATTTCAATTGAGGTACTAACAACACAAAATGACTGATATCTGTTGTCTTTCCAAAATTATATTAGTTATTTATAAGCAATTTCCATACGGTAAATCAAGGGTATTTAATTTAGAAAATGTGCTTTATTTTTCAGATACAATATCAATGAGATTGCCTCCCGGGATTCTGTACTTTATTTAGTTTGCCTTGTATATCCTTTTAACTTTGATATAGACAAAGAAACCAAACAAAATACGTTTCGTTCATGGACCACCGACTCACGCGTTTTATTCATGTCCCGACCTACACCTGTAAACAGAACATAAAACAGTTTCTCTTGTTGTTCAATGATACATTATATTGGCGTTTTTGCATCAGCACATTGGCATTGTTGCATCATCGATAAGAAGCAGAGTGGTGTTGTTGCATCAATAGTGAGGAATTAAAACCACGAATTTATCGCTTCTTGATGATGCTACATGTATACCAATGACAGTTTTGTAACGGCTCGGCCCTGTATAGATGATGTAACTATAATTGAATGGTAGCGTGACTAGGACCGGGCAACGTTTTATAATAAATTAACTGTAAGTTTAGATATTTTGTGTTATGATACTTTCCAGGCTGCTAACTGAAATACTGTATAGCTTTGACTTGTGCTGCCCCCTTTAAAAAGTGACTAAATTAAATGTACATAAAGCTCTAGAATGTAAAAATGTGACTGGCTATCAATATTGGGGTTAAAATATATTGTGATGCAACTTTAATGTGAAATTATCATTAATCGTGAACCGAATTTTGTAAATGTATTATGAAGTAGAAACAATGTAATAAAAATGAAAGGTCAAAACAGCCTGACCCTATTCATGAGATCAACTTGTCCTCAATGTAAACAACAACAGTGAATAGCACAAGACCTATTATAAGGTGAGATTAAATGGCCATTAAATTAATTAACTTGAAGTTAAGCTAAGAACATGGGAGCAATAGTTCAGCATGTAATAGATCCTATCTCAAAAAATATGTTACTCTGCCAGTTAACATGGGTGGGCTTTTATGCTTCTTTGATACAAATTTCATAAATGAATTAAACATTGACTGCCTATATGATGTTAAGATGATTCAAATTGTTTTAATTTTAAAGAGCATGAAATAGGAGTGAAATTGTGAGAATCTTGTAGATTTACTAAATTGGGTAGTCTTTGCTGTGAAAGGGTGTTGGGGAAATAAATGGCTTTTGTTTTAAATAATGATTTGTCTATAATTGAGGTGCCTGGAAATGTGAACCAAGGGTCAGAACTGGAGAATGTAGAACTAAGTCATATACAGATCTGCATCTAACTTCTTTTGGCCAATGTTCTATAGGTGGTTATCAGATTATAGCATTGAGACTGAAATTCTTGCCCTTCTAGGCTTCAAAATAATATTCCTATACTGTTTCACAAATGTGAGATTGAAAGATAACCACTGGTTTATAGAATCACTCCCTCAAGTTATCAATACAGCTCTTTTTAAACCCAACACGATATCAGAAATAAGTTTCTTATGGTTTATTATATATAAAAATACGCTTACTTATAAAAATACTAATTGTTTTATAAAATTGTAGAACTTAGCTTGGCACTTTGTGAAATGTTTCAATTAAATCTTGACATCAAGGCTTACTCATATAAAATAGCAGAGTATATCAACGAAAGTATCACCTCATGAGGTGAAACTATATGAATGAATTTTGGCACAGAATATGTGGTTCTCATGAAGTAACTGTAAAATGTTATTTGTCGGATACAGCGACCCTGAACTACATGTAATTGAATAATATGTATATATATGTCTACCCTTACTATTAATATACCTTAACAGTTATATCACTCTTACTAGACAATATTGCATCAGGCCAGAACTAAAATTATATCATTTCACTGTGTAATATCAACCTTCTAATTGTATTGCCACAAACCACACGCTACGACCATGTAATCCCCAGTGCATCAAGTACCAAACTATCTTCAAGGGTCTCCAAATGAACAGAACTTCACTTCTTGAGAAATTAAAGGGTCAACAACTGAATCTTCAGAATCTTAGAAGTCACAACAGACACCTAACACCAGTTAGAGGGCTGTGCAAAAACCAATGTTGGAAATAGTTAATCTAAAGAATTACAACCTTGCGCTGTGACAGTAGAAATATGGCATCAACTTATAGATAACTATGACAAGGACCGATATGAGATTAGTATTACATCATGAAGAATCTTTCAGTACTGAATTCTCAGGTTAATCACTGAATGGCAACTATTGTCGCTAACTCAGATAAAACCATGGACTCAGAGCTTGTCCGATTTTTGATGCAATAAAGTAAATTATGATACTTGACAGAATTAATGATTGGTTTATTGAAGATAATTGAATGGAAATAATTACAAGTTAATCAAAATGATCAATCAGAATCTTTCAGTACTGAATTCTCAGGTTAATCACTGAATGGCAACTATTGTCGCTAACTCAGATAAAACCATGGACTCAGAGCTTGTCCGATTTTTAATGCAATATGGTAAATTATGACACTTGACAGAATTAATGATTGGTTTATTGAAGATAATTGAATTGAAATAATTACAAGTTAATCAAAATGATCAATCAGAATCTTTCAGTACTGAATTCTCAGGTTAATCACTGAATGGCAACTATTGTCGCTAACTCAGATAAAACCATGGACTCAGAGCTTGTCCGATTCTTATAAGTTTGAAATGATTTTCAGAAGTAAAAGTAATTTCGCTAAATTATAGTCTAGGCCAAAACTGATCGTTCAGATAAAAGTTGTCTCACTTGTGATGCTTCTTATCAAAGATTGCGCTCACCATGTATACTTTGTTGAATAGTTGAAGATCCCTTGAAGGCCTCGAGCTCCGACAAATATAAGATGTGATGAAGAATTTGTAGTAGAGTAAAACCTCAGCAGAATTTCCCGGAATGACCCAGTTCAAGCAGACGTCCAATGTTTTGTACCAAAAAATGACGTCATTCGGACCCCTTCGGAATTTTCCGTGATCGACCAGGGACAAGAACCAACTAAACTTGCTAAAAACTGACCAAAGTTGCGACCCGATGCAATATTATTACCCTAATTAATTAATAAATGATCGGGGTAAGATGAGATAACGAAACAGAGGTCAAAAAGTATAAAAAAGTAAATAAAATAGCGATGATGCATCGCAGTGGCGAACGCTGAAAAGTTCGCAATAAAATAGCACTAAAACACCGAACGTGACCTCTGGTTCGTTACACCACCCCCTCCTTTGAAAACCTGATCTTCCATGATCAGAGGCTACCTTGCGCTATAAAAATATAAAAATATATATTGAAACACCAAAATGGTTGTTTCACACATAAATGAACATAATGTGATTATATAAAAGTTATGTTTAAGGTGCTTTTCATCCAATGGAAGCAATACTCAAAATACTGATGACATTTAAGCACCATTCGTTTAAAAATACTTTTGCACAAAAGGTTAATATATGATATATGCTTTACATATTTACACATGTGTCACACTTCCCTAACGACACATTTATGCTGGGCATGAACATGCAAAAATGTCGCCACTTGCCATTTATTACAGACACAAAATGCCAGACACCAACCGCCATTACAGAAACTTCGAAATCAAGATACGTCACCACTTTTGATGGCGACATAACAAAATGTCAATATAAAAATATATATAAAATCTATAAAACTTGTCTTTGAAATGAAAATAAACACTGTCTCTAATAAAACTGCTTAATATTATGTAATACTGTCATGAGCACTCATATGGCATTGCAAATGTTCATTTACACGGCTTCCAGGCGGCTGCCTGCATCTCTGCCATTGTTGGCGGGGCAAGTTGGGGCCCTTCCTCAATGTCGCAATCCAGGCTTGGGATCGGCCCGATCTCTTGCTGTAGTTCCTCCTCCGCCTGGCCCTGGGGTGACATCGGCGGGATGCCGAATTCATCCCTGAGGCGTTGTTCCAGGGGTTGTCGCTTTTTGGGGATGACGTACTCTCTTCTGGACATATATCTAGCCACTGTTTGGGTGGGTTCCTTCCTCTTCCGCGGCTTGGGGGGAGGGGTCAGCACTTCTTCCCGGGGAGGGGTACTACAGGCGGGCGCCACATTGACACATACCGGAGGGGGGTCAGAGGCGGCGCATGCCTCTGTCTGAGTCGCTGCATTCTTCTGGGGTACGACTTCCGTCACTTTGACGCCCAAGTTGTTCATGAGTTTTACTAACGTTTCGGCCGTTTTCTCCTGGCAAGCGACCCCCATTGCCGCTTCTAGTGCCTGCAGCTCTGCTGGCGCCAGCGATTTGACGGCCTCCTCAATGATAGGCTGGCTAAGGGATGGCATTACTGCTGGTGTAGGTGTAGGTTTTTGATCGCTCTCTGCGTCTTCTGGATCGGAATACTTCGGCGTGTTTATTGTACTGGACGGAGTCTGCGGGGCGGTCACTACCGTGGCGGGCGTAGTCATTGGCACTGGCAAGCTCAACTCGGCCAGAGACTCCCAGAATGTCTCCGAAGGAGGGGTACTATCAATCTCGGCCGTTACTACTTTTTGGACATTGCGCCCCTGGGGATGAGACGTCACAACCCTCATGGTGGCGTTGCTTGAATTTTTGTGGCTAACTGTCCTCTGGTGTCTGTCTAAGGCCCCCTCTGTTCTGAATTGGCGCCTGCATCTCTTCCCGCTGGGACGCCTCTTCATACATTGGAATAGGGGAACGTTATTCTCCTGGAAGGAGTGGGCAAAAATTATTGATGGTAATAAAAAGGATCAACCTATGATTATGAAAGGTCATATGGGTCAAGCCATTTGGGGGGTCTTCTCGTGCGCCGTGACTGTGCCGGTATAGAATGGGGAGGTGAAAGAGGATCAAACTCCAAGAGAATATCTGGTTGTGACATTGGAACATCAACATGGTCATTGCGAACGACAGGAACTTCAATTTGAGGAACTTGCGAAGTTTGACCTTGACCCAATTTGTCAACGTCAGACATCCAATCAGGCAATGCCCCTGCAAAAGGCTTGATTCTGTTGACATGAACTACTTTGACTTTCCCATCTTCACTCTGTAATACCACTAAAACATCAGACAATACCTCCAAGACCTTGAATGGGCCTTTCCAAGGGTTCAAGAATTTAGGGGTCGTTCCGACCTTGACCACAGGGACGTGCAACCAAACGGGGTCGTTAACTTCGTAGACCTTAGACCTAGCCTTCACATCATATAGACGCTTTTGCCTATCACTAGAAAGAGATATGTGCCCACGGGCGGCCTGGTGAATGATTGACAATTTCTCGTGTAAATCGTTACAATACGCAGTGTAATAGACAGGAAGTGACTCATCCTCAGTCTGGGGGAGGGGACCCAAAAGCAAATCAGATGGTAAATATGGCTCTCTGCCAAACATGAGCATTGCTGGAGAAAACCCTGTTGACTCATGGACTGCAGACCTAATAGCAGCCGTCACAAAAGGTAAGTGCAAATCCCAATCCCTATGGGTCGGGGAGACGATTTTTGCGAGCATGTCTTCAAGCGTGCGATTGGATCGTTCCACCATACCATCCGACTGCGCATGGAACGGGGTAGTACGCGTCTTGGTGATGTCTAAAATATCGCACAATTCTTGAAATAAATTGGATTCAAATTGCCTTCCCTGGTCCGAGTGCAACAACAGACAGGAACCATAACGGCACACAAATTCTTTCAAGAAAAGATCAGCGACAGTTCTAGCCTCCATATTCTTCATGGGAAGGGCCTCGAGAAATTTCGTGAAATAATCCTCGATCACTAATATATACTTGTTGCCTGATGTCGATTCTGGCAAAGGCCCCAAAATATCCAAAGCACAGCGCTCTAAGGGATAAGACACATTGAAGGTTTTCATATGAGCACGTGGTTTCCTATTGGGAGACTTCCTTTTCTGGCATGGAATACACTCTGCTATGTGCCTAGAAACATCTGCCTTAAAGCCTATCCAATAATACTTTTGACGAAGTTTGCCTACTGTTTTAGCGATACCCATGTGACCCCCAAAGGCGGAATCATGTACAGAGCAAAGCACTTGTTTCCTCATACAATCAGGAATGACCAACTGCCAGATGACCTCATGACCTTGTAACCACTTCCTCTCTATCAAACAGGACCTCAGCCTCAATCTATCAAATTGGCTCCAGTATTGCTTCAAAACATGCGATTTTTCCGATATTTCTCCCCAATCGGGACGTTTAGCAGCAATCAACCACTCATTCACAATACTAAGAATAGGATCTGTTTCCACCGCTTTGGAATAATCGGTATCAGACAAATTTTCACGCCAGTTGCATTCTGGGATTGCGGATTTTGGGTCACATGACACCTTGACCTTGCTACGTGTAACCATATTGACAACGGGTTGAAGTGACATAGACATATCCACTCTGATGCTTGAAACAACGGGATGAACAGATTCAACCTCATTCTGACTTTCGATAAGTGACAATCTACCTAATTCTTCTTGTCTGTTGCAATGCTTACACTCAACACATGGACGTCGAGACAAACCATCACAATTGCCGTGTTGGGCTCCCCTGCGATGTTTGATGGAAAAATCATACGTCCCTAACACTTCTAGCCAACGGGCTAACTGTCCTTCCGGGCACTTGAACTTGAGAAGCCATGTCAAGGCACCATGATCTGTTCTGACCAAAAATTTTGACCCGTACAAATAATGATGGAAGTGTTTGACCGATTTTACAATTGCCAACAATTCTCTTCTCGTGACGCAATATTGACGTTCTGCACGAGACAGTGACGCAGAATAGAAATGCACCGGACGCTCAACATTATCGACAATCTGGGACAAAACGCCACCTATACCACAACCAGACGCGTCGCAATCAAGAATGAATGGAAGGGACATGTCGGGATACGCAAGAATCGGCACCTTTAAGAATTGATCCTTGAGACACTGAAATACGCCTTGCTGTTCATCACCCCAGCAAAATTTTACATTTTTCTCTGTCAATTTGTACATGGGCTTGGCGATATCAGAAAAACCAATCACAAAGCGACGATAATAAGAACACGTCCCGATAAATGCCTGTACGTCCTTCAATTTCCTCGGAACTGGCCAATCTACAATTGCACTGATCTTTTCGGGGTCTGCTGAAACACCTGCTTGACTGACAACATGACCTAGATATTTGACTTCACGCTTAAATAACATGCACTTTTTGGGGGACAATTTGAGACCGGCCGACCTCAATCGAGAAAACACATCGGAAATTTTCGACAGATGTTCATCGACACTCTTACTGAAAATGACTATGTCGTCCAAATACGCTAGACAAGACTCGGGTTGTAAACCCGCTAGTACACACTCCATCAATCGAGAAAATGTTGCTCCCGCGTTACATAACCCAAAAGGCATGACCGTCCATTCAAATAAACCCCTTTCTGTTGTGAAAGCAGTTTTCTCGGCATCACTGGGATCCATGACAATCTGGTGGTATCCGCTACATAAATCTAATGTTGTAAACCATTGGCTACCTGCCAAACAATCTAACGTATCATCGATACGCGGGAGAGGAAATGCATCCTTTAGAGTCACGGAGTTGAGATTTCGGAAATCTATGCAATATCTGAGTGTGTTATCCTTCTTAGGGACCAGAACAATGGGACTTGCCCAGGGAGAGACGGAAGGACGAACAATCCCCAAATCAAGCATATCCTGTAAAGCCTTATCAGCCTCAGCCTTTTTAGCCGGGGGTACCCTGCGGGGTTTTTGTTTCATAGGAGGAGCATTGCCAGTATTGATTTCATGTTGGATAATATTAGTACGACCCATATCGAACTTTGACTTGGCAAAAAGGTCGCTATGACCTCTGAGGAATTTTTCAACTTTTTCTCCATCTTCACTGGAGAGACATTCTTTACTTGACACAATCAATTTTTCAAAGTGCAAAGATTCAGAATTCATTTTCATTTCACAAGTTTTCTCGTTAACATGTAGATAACTCTCGTTTCCTTTCTTATCATTTAAACTATCTCTAACTTCATCTTCGGTGCTTGCAAGCAAATTGAAACTATCTCTAACATCTTCTTCTTCACCATTATACAGGCTGCCTACATCTACTTGACTAACAAACCTACTTTCTAACATTTCACCAAGTCCTACTAACATATTTACATACAAAGTCTGAGGTTCATTACTCAAATTTGCCACTTTGAGAGGAACATAAGGGTTCCTTGGATCTACCAAAGCCTTTGCTAACATAAGACCCTCACTTTCTAACAACTTAGGGGCCATCTCCACAATCATACACTCATGTTTATCTGAACAGTTGACCTGACCAGGACACACCATCTCTGTCTGAGGGGGAATGGTTATTGTTTCACTCACTGTAATTCTATATATAGATGGCACTTTGTAGGTAGAAACACACTTAAATTCCAGATCTTTTATATGCAATAGATTTGTGCCTACATCTAGAATAGCTTTCTGAGGTCTAAGGAAATCCAAACCAATGATCATTGAATCCTGCATATTGGCGATTAAAACTGGTTGTGATACTTTGAAACCTTGACCTAAATCTAAAGTACATTGTAAGGTGCCTAATGTGGGAGTTGAACTACCATCTGCTACTGTAATACCAGTATTGCTGCCGGTGTAAGGGCATATATCTGTATTTATGGAATTTGACACCTGTGATGCAAACTCAGGGGATAGAACGCTGATAGTTGCACCAGTATCCACAAGAGCATAAATATGAACATCGCCAATTCTGACAGGGAGATATAGACCACTATGTAATGAAGAAGGCTGAAATTCGGGCCACTCAAACAGAGAAGCTACGTCCTGACCCACGGTCGGAGCTTCTACGCGTTTTTTGAATCAGTATTGTTCACATTCCTGGAACGTGATTTTTCTGCATGGGGATTACACCCAGGGACATGAGCATTGCGGCACTTAGCTGCGATATGATTTGGCTGGCCACAATTCCAACAGTTGCCACGAAACGGAGGGCGACTGTTGTTGATTTGATCTGAAAGTTCATTGACAAGTCTACAGAGGTGAGCTAACTCATGAGGTGAACCTGTATTTTGATTCTGAACATACCCTGAGCCAGACACTTGATCACTGTTTTGACTGAAAGTAAGAACTGGACTAGGCATATGACCTGTGTTTTGACTGGGAGTGTACACTGAGCTAGACACCTGTCCATTCATAGCCCTTACAGTAGGTTTCAACTCAATCCTTGCCCTATTTTCCAGAAAAGTTTCATACTTAATTGCCATTTGAACAGCTTCATCAAGAGTCTTAGGAGATTGTTGATTAATGTGCACCCCAATAGCTGTATCATTTAATGCGCGAACAAACCAGTACACATGTTCCGTCTGGCGATTAGCCTGTTTACACATTTTTAAAATATCATGAGCTAGCTCTGCCAATTTTTCATTTGGTTTCCTGAGTCGAGTTTCTAATTTATCCTTATAACTATCAACCTGGTGGGGGGGATCATACCTTGTTTTCAATGCACCAATTATAGAATCATAATCAACTTGACTTGCATCTGGCAACTCAGTAAGTGTAGAAAGGGCAGGTCCCTTTAACAACCCAATAAGCTGCATGGTCCTTTGCTGATGATCCCATGCTTTCATGGAAGAGATAAGTCTGAATTGAGTATGAAAATCTCTCCATGAGGTTGTTCCATCAAAAGGAGAAATCTTGAAGTGAGAATCAGATCTATATGATTGGTTTCTTAAATTATCATTAATATGATGTCGGGGAGGCCTTTGATCATGTTCTAGATTAATAAGCTCAGCCTCTGGAACAATATTTCTAACTTGACTTGATGAAATACCAGAGTAGGGATACCTGTCTTCCACACTTGTATTTCTAGATGGGTTTGAGGCTACGAAACTGAAGTTTTGGGGGTCATTTGCTTCTACCACTACTGGTGCATGTGTGAATACACCATTGGTCTCTAAAGACCGGTTATCTACCTTACTAAGTACAAATGTTTCCCCCTGCTGGGTGAATGGCTGGCCTACACTGACCCGGGTAATCTGTCTAGGTTCGCTTATGTTAGGAGGATTGTTAGACTGGGAATAGCCATATGCTGAAGCCATGGAGAATGGTGCAGGAATGGCTATATCGTTGTATAGCGATATATATCGCTATACTGCCTCTCATTGACTTACATGTGATATATTCGATATATATCGTCGATATATAAGGCTATATAAAATCTGGCCAGATATACTTCTCCATATTTTATCATGTTCCTGGCATTTACCCATGACGATATACACGCTATATTCGATATGTATCCTCTTGCCAAGATATAGAGCGATATACACACGATGTATACGCTATATTTGATATATATATATCCTGTCTTTAAGATATATATCGGATATATATCCCCAATACAGGGGTTTGTTGAATCAGTTCTTACAATTAGTCATGATGATATACACGATATACACGATATATTCGATATATATCCTATTTTCAAGATATAGAACGATATACACATGATATATACGCTATATTTGATAGATATCCTGTCTCCAAGATATATATCGGATATATATCCCCAATACAGGGTTTGTTGAATCAGTTCTTAAAATTATTCATAACGATATACACGATATACACGATATATTCGATATATATCCTATTTTCAAGATATAGAACGATATACACATGATATATACGCTATATTCGATAGATATCCTGTCTCCAAGATATATATCGGATATATATCCCCAATACAGGGTTTGTTGAATCAGTTCTTAAAATTATTCATGACGATATACACGATATACACGATATATTCGATATATATCCTATTTTCAAGATATAGAACGATATACACATGATATATACGCTATATTCGATAGATATCCTGTCTCCAAGATATATATCGGATATATATCCCCAATACAGGGTTTGTTGAATCAGTTCTTAAAATTATTCATGACGATATACACGATATACACGATATATTCGATATATATCCTATTTTCAAGATATAGAACGATATACACATGATATATACGCTATATTCGATATATATATCCTGTGTTTAAGATATATATCGGATATATATCCCCAATACAGAGATTGTTGAGTCGGTTCTTACAATTGTCCATGACGATATACACGATATACACGATATATTCGATATATATCCTCTTTTCAAGATATAGAACGATATACACACGATATATACCCTATATTCGATATATATCCTGTGTTTAAGATATATATCGGATATATATCCCCAATACAGAGATTGTTGAGTCGGTTCTTACAATTAGCCATGATGATATACATGATATACACGATATATATCCTATTTTCAAGATATAGAACGATATATACAAGATATATACGCTATATTCGATATATATATCCTGTGTATTAGATATATATCGGATATATATCCCCAATAAGGGTTTGTTGAATCATTTCTTAAAATAATCCATGACGATATACACGATATGCACGATATATTCGATATATATCCTCTTTTCAAGATATAGAGCGAAATACACACGATATATACGCTATATTCGATATATATCTTCTTTTCAAGATATAGAGCGATAAACTAATGATATGCACGATATATTTGATACATATCCTCTTTTCAAGATATTGACCGATATACACATGATATATACGAGTTATTCCATAGTTAGCATGATATTCATAGGATAACATGTGAAAATAAAAACGGTATTTTTGTAATCAGTGGTAAAATATGATATTTTTGACAAATTTTCACTTAACCATAGCATACAGTCTTTTGGCCATGACATACGGCGTCGTATGCGATGGTTTATGGATTTTTGGTACTTCAGACTCTAAACGACGCTAAGTGTCAACATCGCAGGATCGTTTGGAAAACTCGAATTAAATAACTGAATTTCCGGCGATTCTGATGATGACTTTAACTATGGAATAAAAAGAACATCCTCTATATATTCGATATATATCCTATAGAGCGATATACTAACGATACATACGCTATAGTGACCGAGGGAAATATCGATATCATCCAAGGGAAATATATCGATATCATCCGAGGGATATTACCCATATCATCCCGACAGGTGAATAACGACCTTATACCATCACGGGGGATAAGCAAAACGAGGGCGAAGCCACGGACTGCGACTCGCGTAACTTTACACCGCAGCCCAGCGCCAAAATGGAGGGACATCCGTCAGTGCCTTCTGCTTCTTCCGACAAAATAGAGAAATCCGGGTATTTTAAATGCTATCGTAGTGTCTAATCGGTGACCAAAATATTACTCTGTATCTACTGTTGGTCTGTAGATAAGAAAATAAGCAGTTGTCCAGATCAAGCTAAAACAGTAGCAAAGTTCTGATTTTACCTGTAAAATATGTGCATATTATTTAATTTACCATACATTTGAAAGGAGTTTTAACACGTTTCTGATATCTAAAGGTTAGTTGAGGCTCCGAGTATAATTCGTGAAAATGATTTGATAATAGAATGTGTTCATGAGGAGAAAATTAGATTCAAACTGCGCATTCATAGTGGACGCAGTCCAGTAAACAAAGCTATTTCAACAACGCAACACAGCCTCCAATGATATTCTAAGCAACGCAGTCCAACCGCGAACACGAAATAAATATTAAGATAGTGTAAACTATATTCCTACGCTATTATTGTTTCAGGAAGATATCAGGAAAATATCAAATAATTGGAGAGTTGGTGAGTTAATGTAATTTTGGATGATCTTTCCAACAGTCCATCAATATAGCTACCATAAATTCATGATTTCAGCTGTATTTGACAGCTTGTATATATTTGCAGAATGGATCGAGACACGATGTAGGTCTATTAAAATAGCCCTTTATATTCAATTTTGTCCCAAGTTGATCCATTTCGGCCAGACCTGTACACACATTGTGCTATCTACCTTTGGCTGTGAATGCGTTCAGCTTCAGATATAAAGCAACACTGAGTCGCGGACTGCGTTGGGCAGATGGATGGACTGCGACTATTATAAATTCCAATTTTCTATGTAATTGTACGTTTTCCGCTTACCAAATATCACACGAAGATGTAATTGTAACAACAGAACATGAATAATTATATTAATTCGATGTCATTTCTGATTCCTTTGTTTTAATCGGTATATTAGGGACAAATATTGACAAAATTACATTTTTTGTGGCAGATTTCGAATTCATTTGTGTTCATGCTAAACTATTGGACAGCCGAGCACCAAGAATGCCATTGCAGGTGGAGTATGAATATGTTGATCACCGACTGGAACATACTAGCTATTCTGTAGAATATCCAAACCAATAAACTACCCCAAATCCTAACATGCCTTCCAAATTAAGTTTGGACTTACCGCCATTGTTCAGCTATAATGCGTTGTAACCTCGTTTTGAATTACGCGAATCGCAGTCCGTGGCTTCGCCCTCGTTTTGCTTATCCCCCGTGACCATGGTCAAGAGCAACATCTACCCAAAATCTTCTGTTGAATGAGAGAAAAAAGGATTGAATCTTAGAAATATTTACGTTACATACACTCCCCTCCGTAAGTTTGGCAATCTTAGCTCCCTCATTGAACTACGTGTTAAAGCCTCTTTATGTTTGAATTTCTATTTCCATTACCTGCGAGGAAAATACTTATAATATTGATGGGAATGTAACTTAATTCATTTCCAATGCCTCCAAATGTTCCCAATTCTTTTCCTCAATTGCAATAGGTTGAAAATTGATGATAAATCTGATGAATTTTGGAAAATCGACATTCCCATGTAAACCAATGGGAAATGGTAGGTTCGCCGCAAGTCATATGACAGAATATTTATCCATCTGAGATCTTGCAAAAAATACAAGTTAGGTGGCCAAAATTGTATTTGCTTACTTTGTTTAATAAAAATTTGATATGTTTCCTCAGTTTTTAAAAGTTAAATGTCTTCAAAGTCAAATTTATTTTTCTGTTACATATTAAGTATTCATAAAGTAAACTGAACACTTGGAGTACAAAAAGTAGACAATTCAATTTTCTAAAATTATAAAAATATTTTAGGTGAGTCTTTTACTGGTTAGATACCCTGAAATCAGATTTGCCCCGAACCCACCATTTTCCATTGGTTTACATAGGAATGACGGTTTTCACAAATTCATAAAGTTTATCATCAATTTTCGACCTATTGTGATTGAGGAAAAAATTGGGAAACCTTGGGGGCATTGGAAATGAAGTCAAGTTACATTTCCATCAATACAATAAGTATTTTTTCAAAAGGTTATGTTAATAAAAAATCAAACAAAAAGAGCCTTTGATATGTAGTTCAATGAGGGGGTTAGGGTTGCAAAACTTATGGAGGGTATAACCTACTCCCAAGTACATTGGGAAATTAAGTATAAGGGCAAGAAGAACAAAATACTTAAAGAAATTAAAATGTGAAGATAATTTTAATCAAAAAATAAAAAATATTAAAAAAACTCATTTTTGGAAAAAAATAATTTTTTGGAAATAAATTTAATTTGTGAAAAAAAGATACCTACTTGATATTTGTCTTGATATCAAAATATACACGATTTTTTGGAAAAAATGAAAAATTTGGAAAAAATGAAAATTTTGAAAATATGAAAATTTGTGAAAAACTGAAAAAAATTGAAAATGAATTTTTTGGAAAACATGTAAAAAAATTTAATATACCCTGATATCATCCCCCTAATCCTGAATATCTTGAAAAGAGGATATATATCGAATGTATCGTATATATGGTGTGTATATCGCTCTATATCTTGGAAAGAGGATATATATCGAATATATCATGTATATCATGTTTGAAAAATATAAGAACTGATTTAACAAAATTGTAAACTGGGAATATATATCCGATATATATCTTGAAGACAGGATATATATCGAATACCGTATTTTTCAAGCACGATATACACGATATATTCGATATATATCCTCTTTCCTAGATAAAGAGCGATACACACGCGATATATACGCTAAAATCTTTATATATCCTGTCTTCAATACAGAAATTTGTTAAAAAAAAGTTCTTATATTTATGGATGACGATATACACGATATATTCGATATATATCCTCTTTCCAAGATATAGAGCGATATACACATGATAACGATATACACGATATATATCCTCTTTCCTAGATATAGAGCGATACACACACGATATACGCTATAATCGATATATATATCCTGTCTTCAAGATATATATCAGATATATATCTTCAATACAGAGGTTTGTTAAAAAGTTCTTATATTTATGGATGACGATATACACGATATACACGATATATTCGATATATATCCTACCCCAGAGATATATATCGGATATATTTCGATTTGAGGATGGGGAGAGATAGTTTCACGAATATATCGTCTGAGAGACGATATATATCGCTATACGACGATATAGCCATTCCTGCACCTTTATGAAGCCATGACAGGTACCTGATTAACACTATCTACAGCTGACTGTGACCTTAAAGGTGAACCACTGTAAACTCCACTTGACCTACTAGCCTGCCTTTTTAAGCCAGAGGCTCAAATATCTACTGTTGACATGCGTGGATTAATATCTTGAACTACTTGTTGTTGTGACCCATAGACAGGGGACATACTGACATTACCAACTTCATGAGAGATTGCTACTGGCCTTGTAGACAACAATGCATTAGTATCAGAAAATGTCAAATGTTTTTTCACTGGACCAAGGTTCTTTGACCTAGCACCACCATGGCCAACAGTTTCTTGACTAGTAGGGGTATTTACTTCTGAAGGTGCAGTTTCCATATACTGCTTGATAACTGTCCTAGAATCTGAATCATTTAATGGGACAGTATCATTCAACTGGCTAGTACCTGAGGTGACGAATTGTGAACCTGTCTGGGTTTCAACACCACTATCCTTGGGGAAGACACTAAATGTAACCTCACCATCTGAGAAATTCTTTACGGCCCCCTCAACAGGTGAAGGAGATCGGTTCATTCCGGAATGTTCTGCCGCGGCAGCATCAAATTCTACTTGGCTTTTATCAGCCATAATAACTTGAGATCAAATACTAATTCGGAAAAATTGAAGCTATTTGTCTTAACGAAACTTGAAACAAAAATGACAAAAATCACCAACACAAAATATCAAGGCGTGGTCAAATGTAATAACAAATGAAATATCCCACTCAGCTGCCAACACTGTAACGGCTCGGCCCTGTATAGATGATGTAACTATAATTGAATGGTAGCGTGACTAGGACCGGGCAACGTTTTATAATAAATTAACTGTAAGTTTAGATATTTTGTGTTATGATACTTTCCAGGCTGCTAACTGAAATACTGTATAGCTTTGACTTGTGCTGCCCCCTTTAAAAAGTGACTAAATTAAATGTACATAAAGCTCTAGAATGTAAAAATGTGACTGGCTATCAATATTGGGGTTAAAATATATTGTGATGCAACTTTAATGTGAAATTATCATTAATCGTGAACCGAATTTTGTAAATGTATTATGAAGTAGAAACAATGTAATAAAAATGAAAGGTCAAAACAGCCTGACCCTATTCATGAGATCAACTTGTCCTCAATGTAAACAACAACAGTGAATAGCACAAGACCTATTATAAGGTGAGATTAAATGGCCATTAAATTAATTAACTTGAAGTTAAGCTAAGAACATGGGAGCAATAGTTCAGCATGTAATAGATCCTATCTCAAAAAATATGTTACTCTGCCAGTTAACATGGGTGGGCTTTTATGCTTCTTTGATACAAATTTCATAAATGAATTAAACATTGACTGCCTATATGATGTTAAGATGATTCAAATTGTTTTAATTTTAAAGAGCATGAAATAGGAGTGAAATTGTGAGAATCTTGTAGATTTACTAAATTGGGTAGTCTTTGCTGTGAAAGGGTGTTGGGGAAATAAATGGCTTTTGTTTTAAATAATGATTTGTCTATAATTGAGGTGCCTGGAAATGTGAACCAAGGGTCAGAACTGGAGAATGTAGAACTAAGTCATATACAGATCTGCATCTAACTTCTTTTGGCCAATGTTCTATAGGTGGTTATCAGATTATAGCATTGAGACTGAAATTCTTGCCCTTCTAGGCTTCAAAATAATATTCCTATACTGTTTCACAAATGTGAGATTGAAAGATAACCACTGGTTTATAGAATCACTCCCTCAAGTTATCAATACAGCTCTTTTTAAACCCAACACGATATCAGAAATAAGTTTCTTATGGTTTATTATATATAAAAATACGCTTACTTATAAAAATACTAATTGTTTTATAAAATTGTAGAACTTAGCTTGGCACTTTGTGAAATGTTTCAATTAAATCTTGACATCAAGGCTTACTCATATAAAATAGCAGAGTATATCAACGAAAGTATCACCTCATGAGGTGAAACTATATGAATGAATTTTGGCACAGAATATGTGGTTCTCATGAAGTAACTGTAAAATGTTATATGTCGGATACAGCGACCCTGAACTACATGTAATTGAATAATATGTATATATATGTCTACCCTTACTATTAATATACCTTAACAGTTATATCACTCTTACTAGACAATATTGCATCAGGCCAGAACTAAAATTATATCATTTCACTGTGTAATATCAACCTTCTAATTGTATTGCCACAAACCACACGCTACGACCATGTAATCCCCAGTGCATCAAGTACCAAACTATCTTCAAGGGTCTCCAAATGAACAGAACTTCACTTCTTGAGAAATTAAAGGGTCAACAACTGAATCTTCAGAATCTTAGAAGTCACAACAGACACCTAACACCAGTTAGAGGGCTGTGCAAAAACCAATGTTGGAAATAGTTAATCTAAAGAATTACAACCTTGCGCTGTGACAGTAGAAATATGGCATCAACTTATAGATAACTATGACAAGGACCGATATGAGATTAGTATTACATCATGAAGAATCTTTCAGTACTGAATTCTCAGGTTAATCACTGAATGGCAACTATTGTCGCTAACTCAGATAAAACCATGGACTCAGAGCTTGTCCGATTTTTGATGCAATATAGTAAATTATGATACTTGACAGAATTAATGATTGGTTTATTGAAGATAATTGAATGGAAATAATTACAAGTTAATCAAAATGATCAATCAGAATCTTTCAGTACTGAATTCTCAGGTTAATCACTGAATGGCAACTATTGTCGCTAACTCAGATAAAACCATGGACTCAGAGCTTGTCCGATTTTTAATGCAATATGGTAAATTATGACACTTGACAGAATTAATGATTGGTTTATTGAAGATAATTGAATTGAAATAATTACAAGTTAATCAAAATGATCAATCAGAATCTTTCAGTACTGAATTCTCAGGTTAATCACTGAATGGCAACTATTGTCGCTAACTCAGATAAAACCATGGACTCAGAGCTTGTCCGATTCTTATAAGTTTGAAATGATTTTCAGAAGTAAAAGTAATTTCGCTAAATTATAGTCTAGGCCAAAACTGATCGTTCAGATAAAAGTTGTCTCACTTGTGATGCTTCTTATCAAAGATTGCGCTCACCATGTATACTTTGTTGAATAGTTGAAGATCCCTTGAAGGCCTCGAGCTCCGACAAATATAAGATGTGATGAAGAATTTGTAGTAGAGTAAAACCTCAGCAGAATTTCCCGGAATGACCCAGTTCAAGCAGACGTCCAATGTTTTGTACCAAAAAATGACGTCATTCGGACCCCTTCGGAATTTTCCGTGATCGACCAGGGACAAGAACCAACTAAACTTGCTAAAAACTGACCAAAGTTGCGACCCGATGCAATATTATTACCCTAATTAATTAATAAATGATCGGGGTAAGATGAGATAACGAAACAGAGGTCAAAAAGTATAAAAAAGTAAATAAAATAGCGATGATGCATCGCAGTGGCGAACGCTGAAAAGTTCGCAATAAAATAGCACTAAAACACCGAACGTGACCTCTGGTTCGTTACAGTTTTTTAAAATATAGATCATGCGCTAACTGCATGTGTATGATTATTGAGCAACTCGTCCTAGAAATGGGTGTAAATTGGGAAAACAAAACATCGTACGAAAATCTATCACCGGAAGTCTGGCCATCTTGATGCAACAACACGGTGTTGTTGCATCACGATACCCCCCAGTGAACTGTAGATCTATAGATCTAGTGCCAATACCTGATACGGCAATAGTGTCACGGACACTAGCCTAAAAGGATCAAGAAGAAGAAGATATATGTGACCCTGTCAAACATACAATTCGTGCGTTTTCTTTCTTACCTTTTCAAATCGTTTCGATAGTAAATTATATCTATTATCAAAGAAATATAAACCCAATTTTTACACTTACTTTTTACGTTGACCTCGTTTTCGATTTAATTTTTAGTGACACGCCACATCTTGACATCCGGTTCAATATTTTGACAATATTTCATTCATTATTTTTAGGTATGTATTTATTCTTCATCTTCTGCATTCTATGCATCACATTTATATTGAAATTATCATTAACATAAATGTAACTGGTCGGTCGCATCTAAGGTAAAACGCCATATTTTGGAAGCAATCCTAAATATTTTATGAATAAGAATGTTTCTTCATTCTCAAGTTCGTTTGTATGGAAGATCGGGCAGAGCCCTCGTATGCAGTACTGTCAATCCCCAAAGATTTTCTTGCGGGACAGACTTTTTAGACCCAGCGCCCAAAATTCTCATGGATTTTGCGCGTAGCGAATTGACTTGACCATGGGCTTTCAATTAGAAGGGTTTGCAACTCTGTGTTGTAAACATGAGACCTTCAAATGAGCAATGCCACGCTTCCCTTTTTGTGGTAATGTTTCAAAAAGTATTTGATAAATGTATATGTTTTAGTATTATTTTGAATAAAAATCAATTTTCAATATGATTAAGGTCTCATGGAAGTTAACAGGAAGTGACAAAACAAAAAATGACAAAGCCATGCTGGATTTTGAAAATTTTTTGAACCAAGATAACAGAGTTCTGTTTGGACCTCCAGTCAGTTTAACTAGTTCCACATATCATTTACATGACCAGGAACACAGTTGAAATGGTCAGAATGACCATAAACATGATAGAATAACCTTTTCAGCCCTCTGAAAATGTGACTAAAAAATAGCTAAGAGTAGGTGCTCAGGAAAGGTCACTGAACAGAATATTTTGACTTTTTCAGAAAATGTGCCCAATATATTGCTCTAAATGATACAATTCAAAAAAATTTGATATCATTCTTAGAAAAAGAAAAAATTGAAAAAAACTGAATTGAAAATCGATCTATTTTCCTTTTTACTACAGCCATTATTGTTTCAGACGATTTTTTAAAATTTCAAAGATTGTGTCATTTAGAGCAATATATTGGACACATATTCTGAAAAAATCAAAAGATTCTGTTCATTGACCTTTCCTGAGCACCTACTTTTAGCTATTTTTCAGTCACATTTTCAGAGGGCTAAAAAGGTTATTTTATCATGTTTATGGTCATTCTGACCATTTCAATTGTGTTCCTGGTCATGTAAATGATATTTGGAACTAGTTAAACTGACTGGAGGTCCAAACAGAACTCTGTTATCTTGGTTCAAAAAATTTTCAAAATCCAACATGGCTTTGTCATTTTTTGTTTTGTCATTTCCTGTTAACTTCCATGAGACCTTAAAGCCACAGGGGATTGCATGGAGGGTCGGGCAGAACCCTCCCCAACCTCCTAAGGCTACTTCTCTTTAGAGGTTGGGGAGGGTTGTGCCCGACCCTCCATACGATTCCCTGTGATTAAAGCATAAAATATGTTCAGTCTCATGTAAAAGTAAACAAAAAGACCAATAAACTATCAAGATGTTCTCTTTGAGTATTGCATTGTGGGTAATTATTCAAGAACACATTCCAATAAAAACATAATTTGTGGGAGAATGTTCACTCTCTGTATTGTCATAATTATGATGAATTCCATTTTTTATTAAATTATCAACATGTATGTAGGTGATCATGTTTTTATATTGGAGTTATTTCTTTAAATCATCCCTAAAAAGTAAAAAATAAGATTTTCTTGGAATGTGTACATTCTCCAATTCTGAAAACCCAAAAGGCAATGCTTATGTATGAAATATGGGAAGTTGCCTACCCTTCTAGTTGAAAGCCCATGACTTGACAGATAGCCTACCGAGTGCACTGCAACAGTGTTCGATATTTTTACCTTATACGAGACAATACTTTTTAAAATAATGGACCCAGCAAACAGTGACGTCCATGTCACGTTGATCATAAGTAGCATATAAGTTCCTAGAAGACGTTGCACATTTTCGGTCTTTACACATCGAGGCAACGTAAACATGAGACATCTATTGATGGTATAAAAAGAACGTTGTTGTAACGTGTCCGTAAAGTTCATTAGTGTGGAAAACATAACAAACAGGAACGTTTGATTTTTTACTACACAATGGTCCATATGTGACGTTACTCAAACGTTAAAATTCAACGTTGTCAAGACAGGCTTTTAATATCAAAATATTTGTTGGTGGAAGAGACATGACAAAAACTTTGTGTTCTCACTAAGTCGGTTCATTTCCGACGTATTGTTAACGTTAAAATTTAACGTTGTCGAAACGTTTTTTCGATTTGAAATAACCTCAAAACGTGACGTCAATAATGACGTTCATGGACCGTATTGATCTGACGTTATTTAAATATTCAGCAAAACGTCGATGGATGGTTGAATTTCAACATTGTGGAAATGGCTTCAAAATATTTGTGAGTTAAGGAAACGTTACAAAGACGTCAATATGTACTCACTAAATCGGTTCATTACCGACGTTATTTTAACGTTAAAAATTAACGTTGTTACGATGTGAAATAACCTCAAAACGTGACGTTGAAAATAACGTACATGTATCGTCCAGATCCAACGTTATAAATAAAAAAATCCTAACCCTGCTAGGAACGTTAAGTACCCAGTTACCCGGTCACCCGGTTTTTTACACAAACCCGGACATTGAGGGATTTGCGTGATTGCACAATTTTGATCAAATTCGCGGGGTTTCGCAGGACTGTTCGAGGGACAAATTCGGTAATTGGGGGAGAAGTTAACAGGATCACCACCAAAGACTTCATGGAGGGACAGACTTTTTAGACAAAGTGCCCTAAATTCGGCGGGGCCGGATTTCACATGATATATATGTAAATTTACGTGATGTCACGGGACATTCAAGGGATTTGCGTGTTTGGGACTTAATGTAGAAGTACTCAAATTAAACTTTCAGATACTGATTAATCAAATGTAATGCACTAACTAAATAAACACAATTTCACACAATACGCATATAGGAATATTATTAAACTTTATTGTAATTTGTCAAAAACAAAAACCGTGCTTCAGATGTGAGTACCTTAATCCAACACGAAATTCAAAAATTCTGAACAATACTTTGCATATATGGCGTTCATGACCAACTTTGAAACGTTTACTCCCCATAGTGTTATATATTAAAATGTACCTATTCATTATAGGGGTTTGATTAATCTACATCAAATTATAGGGAGTCAGGTTACTTTTCCAGATATCAGCGTCCATTTATTGGCGCTGATTGCTTACGCGTTTGCTAACATTTGCTCAGTTCTGAGATGGTCACACGCATAGTAAAAACGCCAATGTTGAACTATTTGTGACTTTAACATTCCTATTTTCGCAATAAAAATGAAAGTTGAACTCCTCCTCTTTATTTTGAGCAAAATACCAGTTTTTTAAATGGACTATATGGGGGTCATACCTTTTGGCGGATGGATTGGTTACCTCACACCTTCACCACACTCACTTTGGTACTACTCAACTTTTGTGTAGGACACTGAACGAAAAACAGATTGCAACAATTTTGGAAATTTGCGTAGGTCAAAGCCGACATTTGCGGGACATTGATGGACATGCAAATTAGCTTAATTTTGATCAAATTCAAATTCAAATTTTAGGTTCTCCAGCCACTTTGTATAAAATAACCTAAGGAAAAAAATAATTGAAGCAATCCATCGACTACAGAAATTTGAATAATTCTTCAAAATGCTAGGAAATGAGATTTGAACCATATACTGGGCTGAAAAGAATGGTCCATTTTAGCAGGGGCGTAGCCAGCTTTCAGTCAGGGGGGGTGCGATCACCGAAAATTTTTCAGTTTTCGGTCAGGGGGGGTGCGATTTTGCCATAAGCAACACAAAAAATTAAGATTACTTTTGAATTTTACAAAAATTGATGCAACTTCCTTCAAAATTGAGCTAGAAGCTTCAAATAAAAAGCATTTTAAAGCTCTTTTCTACCTCTATCCATATTATCAAAGGTTATGGGGGGGTGCGATCGCACCCATCGCACCCCCCCTGGCTACGCCCATGCTTAGTCTATTACTTTTTAATATACACTTACTGTTGAAATATGCTAGTTCCTTTACTTCATCTGTCATTTTTCACTATGGTTACACATTTTTCACGAATGACATCACTGATTGACTACTGGGCATCGATATGTATGTTAAATCAAAATTTTCTATCAGTCTGCTTCAATATATAAATATGTAAAATATATGTTAATACCCACTGGCTTTTTAAGCTACAGTATTTTCCTATCATAATGAAGGCCCATGAGCATTTATTTTTAGTTCTTCAAAACATCCTGAACAAAATAAATGCCCAGTGGGCCTACTACTTGAGAACCTCTAGTAGTAGAGTGCTGCTGACTGCTGGCTAGAACTGCCTATGGTCTTAGTCAGGATTAAGATACAAGTTCCCTCAGATTAAAATGAGAGGAACTGTTTCTACCTCTTAAAATATCAGGTTACAAGGTAATAAAGAACTGGATAACATAGGATTCTATCCTCCCTCCAGAAAACGTTGGTTTGATCTACCAATATACATTTCATACCCTTGAAAATGAAAATACTTCATGTAAAATTACATCTACATCATGTTTCAGGTATGGCATTACCAAGTTACTCATCTTTGACACAGTCAATACAAGATGCCGTTCTGAAGCTTTGTGCCCAGAAAATAACATTCAACAAGTCGCTAGAGATAGATGGCATCATTTGTGTTTCTCCCGGAGACGATTATCAGGAAATTGTCGTTAAAATGCATCGAACAATTATTAAACCAAAAGATGACCAAACTAAACTTCAATCATCTGAGATGTTAAATTGGTCCGCAATAGGCTGTAATGAAAATGAGACCTTTGGTTATTATTCAAGTAATCAAAAAAAGCCAAATTTATCACAGACGTGTGTAAGGCATCCATGTCCTGCACCTCCAACTAGATCAATAAGACTCTCAAGCCCTAAGCTTACAAATGCCAGTCAATTCACTGGAGAATGGACGGACAGTCCTTTGCCAGTTGCAACTCAGGAAACACCAGGAGGATTAAAAATTAAAGGTACATAAAATGATTACCAATCAACGTTTTTATAACTTTGCTAACATGAATGTATATAGGCCTACTGATCTTTGTGCAATGATAGTCAAATAATGATCAACCAAATGTAACAATCATGAAAACATCATTAAATTTTTAAACCTAGCAGTGTGTAATTTTAGTATTTGCTTCCTTTTAAATTAAGCTGTGTTAATAGTAAATACTGTAATGATACTGTATTGTGTGCACCTAACGCCGTGTAATGTTTGAAAATATGTTTTTATCATTCATTTACTATTTGTCATGACTTTAACAGTTATTTTAGAGATATTTTGAAAAAAAAGATTTTTTTAAAAAAGTTATCAGCTTTCATTTCTCAAATATTCAAATTTCCCGCCATTTTTCCAAAAAATTGAAATCTTTTAACCATCAAATATTCCACCATACATTTCAAAAAAGATTAACTTTTTAACACCTATCCAAAGATTTAACAAAGGACACACTGTTTCAATAATAAAATATGCTTAAAGATATGTTAATGAGACTTCCCCGTGGCATTTTTTCTTTATTCCTTTTTGTTTTGAATTTTTTACACCATTACATTAACTAACTACTCAATATGCAACTTTTCACCACGTAGAATTTTAAAATATTAAGTTTGAAAATTCCATTTTTATAATGGAGCTCAATGGGAAAAACGACATAATTTGAATTATTTTCAAACGTAGCGGTGCGGTTTTCTTGAAATTGACAGGTATAATAAATATTGGCAAGACAAAATGTTTGAAGAAAAATGAAGAAAATTCACCATCCTGGTTACGCAAAATATAGAAAAATGTGAAATAATCATAAAAACCTGTAAAAATAGATTGAAGGGGGTGATATTCATTTTTAATGTGCCTTTCACTACTACAGGGTAACCATAGTTTTGGTAATGGTTTACTTTTTTTTACTTTTAAAAGCATATCTTCCAGCATGTGTATCAAGCACAAGTAATACAATAAGTGAGTTATCATTAATTGGAATGGTATCATTGTATTCCTAAGCAATGATGACAAAAAGGTAAAATCGATCATATCACATACTAGTTCTTACCATCAAATCGATCTATTATAATGCATATTAAACAATGTAGCAGTAGATATTCAATGCAATCATGAATTTAGTGATCTGACCTTAAAATACTTTTCTGGGGGAATAGTTTGTCCACCTGTAGCCCTTAGGTGTAGCATCTTTTTCTAGCCATATTTTCCAAGGCCTGCTGGAATACCTATTTCAGTGTGCAAGTTTAGCATTATTTTCCCATTGATCATTTGAGTTCTCACGTCAATAACATATGGAAATAAAAATGATAAGATGTCAAAAAGAGTAGTTTATTTTATTGTAAAAAATCAAAAATCAAACAAGGTTCGGTCAGGAAGGGAGCAGGTGAAATCCTTGGGATATATGAATTAATTAATTATAAGAAACACATTCATGCTTCTACAATTTAGGGTAACCCTGTGTATTATACTACTGTGCATGGTAATACCGGTGCAAAATATCACAAAAAATATTATTAACTTATTATCATAATTCAATGTGACAATATCAGTCTTATTTTCAAATTTGTCTATAATAGTTTGCTTGTAAGGTTGAGCAAGCCGTCTATTACGTTGATAGTATAAGATGTTGATTTTGCAAAGCTCTTATGGGATAATTCTACAATATGTACAGTAACATATATGTAAGGGTGCCAGTATGTAGTCCAGTATGTAGTAAACAAAGGAGTATTTTGGTCAACTCAATACATCTGATAAACACTACATTAAGTGTTGTCTATGCAATGATTATATACAGGCACTTATTCATTGTTACTCCGAATTTCAAAAGCCTTCAAATTGTGTGGAATAGAGCAGGCAATGTTTTTCAGTTTCAAGCAGGTTTTAGTACATTCTGACCAATTGCATTTTCAGACTTATTCATTTCATGATTATGTAATACTGACCTACTTATCTGCTTAGCATATCTTTAACTTCAAAAATAAATCAATTTTGATTGTCTAACCAGGTTAAAAGAAAGAATAAATTATGTTTTAGATATTGTTGTACCATTGGTTTCTATGAGAACTAAAATTTTGAAATGCATTTTTCTCTGAATCATTTCATGGATTGATGAGTTCATATCTAGCTTATTAATGAAACGATTTTCTCAATTGTTTCGGCAAAAAACATGTGAAGATGAATGCTGTGCATTGGTATGAATTATTCCTTATTAAAAGATATGTGTAACCTCTAAAAGTTAGTTTTAAAGAAATTCACGATTTTTTGAACAAAAAGTCCTTCAAAAACAACTTTTTGAAATTGAAATAAAAAGTTTCACATAGCCTATGACACTTCGATAACATTGAGTAAGACTACAATATAAGCCAAAGTGATTTAAACTTTATTGGTTAAGACATATTTCATATCAATTGCTCGAGATAATGTTTAGTATTGTTTTATCTGTCAAATATTGCCATTTTATTATGTACTTTCTCACATATACAATTTTATTTCTAGTCTAATTTATACATGTGCCTACAGACATAATCACAAATGTATTTTTCATTTTTTAGCATTTGTTCCATGTTCAGCAGATGACCCAACATCACCTGAGAGATTGAACAAAGTGCCAGAAATAGAAGCTTCAAGAAGTCCAGTTACCATTAAGAGAAAACTTTTAGAATTTGACAACATCACCAAAGAGTCTCCTGAACATTCTTTAAGCAAACAAATTAAGTTTGATTCAACTCCTGATGAGGAGACAGACATTGTGAAAGTGAAGCAAGAGCACATTGCTTTAGAGCTGGATGAGGATGAAGAGATAGGGGGATACCAGGGAGATTCAACTGCAGAGACAACCTGGATGGGAGACAATATATCACAAAACTCAACAGATAATCAAACAGATCAAAGTTCAGGTGAGATATACTGTGAGTTAGTATTTCCAGGATTAAGAACTCGCAACCTGATTCGCTGTCGCATCTATGAGACAGCCAATCAAATTATCTCTTACATACCTTCCTGCTCTGGCATGCTTTTACATTACAACAATTCAAATCAAATTCTTTCAAAGCTGTCTCAAAAATCATTCCAGTTATGCATGATTGAGGACATGTAAGTTTTTTCATAAGCTATATAATGTATGCTTGCTTGGATCTCATTATTTTAGCAATTACAATAAACTATTGGTATAAATTACATGCACATGAAATCTGTACGCCACTTCAAAATTGTTGACTTCATATTCAATGATATCATTGGTAACACATGTATATATCATTGGTTCATAATTAGATCACATGATTGAGTTTAATCAGGTGCTTCCAAATTGGTTATAGCAGGGGGAATAAGGAGGTATGGATTCTGTTCTGGACACCTGTTTACGAGGATGTCATTCATCCCATTCCACGGTTTTCTATTCCTATTGACTGAGGTAGTGACATTATTTTGATATAACCCCACTAAGTTCTTGAATAAAATATAAACTATCTAATCACTGGACACAAGACACCCAATGATAAATATCACACTTTGAAAAGCAAAATGGCCACCATGAAATTTATCAATTATACCAGAAAACCAAATCAGATCTTCACACTTAAGTCTCTTGCGTCTGTAAACATTTCAAATTGAATAGATATGCAGTTTGCCTGAAATGTTGATGCCCAGAAGCAGTCTAAAGCAACCAAAAATGCAAGTTTTAGCAGTTGGCCATATATCGCAGGATTGAAAAACTAAATGACAATGACCAATCATGGACAGGCCAAGCCCCGTCAACAATTGATTGGCATACTTCACAGATAGGAATGGAATTCTCAATGAGACTGATCAATCTTGAACATTTAAAAATGAGTCATGACAAAGATAAATTATTAGTCATGACCTGACTAACTTACTTAGTTCAATAACTTACACAAGAGAAAGTCATCCCATTTAGAGGCAATTAAAAGTAAAATTCTACTGTTGATTTGATAGATATTTGTAATTCTCTTAATAATTGGATGTGTCAAAATATCCATGTTTGGAGATTTTAAGTTTTGATTCATGTAAATCCAGGGCAATGAATTCTTGAGGGTTTTTAAACAAACCTATTTACTCCAAGTATCATCAATAGGTTGAGCTGAGAATTATTTTCTCAGGTGAACTTATCTAAATATCCACTGTATATCAAAAACATTATCATTTTGATCTGACCCCTTTATACTATTTTTCCTTTATTTATTTACTGGGGAAAAACAATGTACTTTATATACAAAAATACAGCACTTATGCACATGGAAACACTATAAAGGGCACAATATGGTGGCACATATCAAGTGTTAAGAACAATAATTAAAAGTAATATCTATAAAAACCAACATGTAATTCTAATATGTTATATTCCTAACTTTTGAATAAAAATTTCTGTCATAATTTGAAATCATTTCTCAACGCGGTAGTCTGTCATACTTGTAAAAATGAATTAATTTTATATTGATTACATCACAATTATGTGAACTAACAGGTATGGTCAGAATATTATATATAATGAGTATGTGTGGGCAGTAGGATATAGACGCATTTTGCCTTTCAGAATATGGTGAATACACGCCGCACCCCAGTTTCTACCAGGAACAAATCAACAGTCTTCTTCCTTCCTCCATGAACATTAAGAATCAAACATCCAGCGAATCAACAATAAACACTAAGGATCAAATAACAAGTCAATCAACTATGAGCACCAAAATTGACCAGAAACAATTCAAGCTCATTCCTGCCAATGATACAGTGATTCCAATCCCCATAGGAGCCTCAAATCACGTACTTCCAAGTGTTGCACTTCCAATGGGGGCCTCTGAGATAATCAACACTAAGGACCCACTAAGCAGAAAATCCAAAGCCTCTGAGGTGAAATATAAGTGTCAGTTATGCCATAGAGTCCTGTGTGGGAGTACAGCATTTAAAAGACACTACCAGATCCATACTGGAGAAAAACCTTTTAATTGTTCATTCTGTGATAAGTCATTCCGATTGAAACATCACATGAAGCATCATATGGAACAAGTGCATAGACACTTGGAGGGAACCCCTAATGAAGACACCACAGTGGCAATTGTCTCACCACATGTTAAACTAGAACAACTGAATGACAGCTAGGAGGAACCCCAAGTACTACAGGGTGGTCAATCCTCATATCTTTGTTATTTTAGTTAATTACTCCCTGATATTTAAAGAGAGAATCAGAGAGAGCGAGCAGGCTAAACAAAAAATTGTTTCAATTTTAGAATATTTTTGGCTCATGTCATTCCTTGTCATGTCTATTTTCTAAAAATCACAAAAGTGCATACTTTATTCAAGGAAAACGAAAGATTTTTACAATAATGTATTATTTTTCTAAAAGAATCGGGTTACCATTCTTATTATTTGGGAGAATTTAAACATTTTCACCCATTTTTGCACTTTGAATCATTAATAACTTCACCAATTTATAACATACATGTATTGTGAATCTTTTGAGAGATATTGTATTTGATATTGTAAGGAATAGATTGGTAGGTCAATTATGCATGTTGCTTGTAATTTTGTCACCTCCTATAGATCTGTTTGCCTTTAAAACATTTGTACAACATTCAATTTCCTACCAGCTAACCATATTTCATGACCAACAAATTGATAATCACAATGGTACAGCACTTTGAACAAGATGCCCAAGTGTGGCCTCCATCGCGCCATTGGCAAATCTGAACAGGTTGTCAATGATCTGACTACATTTTTCAGCAGGTATGGCCTGAATGTCATGGATTATCTCCTTTTTGAGGTCTGCAGTTGTCCTGAGGATATTCTGGTACACTCTTATTTGGTGTATCACCACAGGTTGAAGTTAGGTAGGGACATTTTTGATGATGGGTACAGGTTTACCGAAAGAGCATGTTGTTAAAAGTGCTGTAACATTGTGATGGTCATGAAATATGGTAGGCCTGTAGGAACTTGAATGTTGTACAAATGTACTAATTATCAGGGAGTAATTTCCTAAAATGATAAAGATATTCTAGGAAAATGGTGACAGGATTTCCGTTTTTACCACCCTTGATAGCTAGCAACATACATTCACACATAGCTAAGCAAGGTGTGTCCAATACCAGCCAATCAGAACTCAGGATTTCATATAACTGCATTGCATTATATAACCAACAAAACCTGGCAAGATCATTTTAGATTCCATTGAAAGTAATAAAACTGATAAGCTGATCAAGTTCATATTTCAGTAAAATTCTATAAATAGTATTATGGTGGGAATAACAAGCCACATGCTTACATGTATGCAGGTCAAATGTAAGTGTTGAAAAGTTGTCATTGGGTGACAATTATGATACCAATTGGCACGAACATAAGTGACAACTTGACCCTTGCATAAAGTTTCCTTGAAAATATATTCTTTTTAGTAATTTCATATCTTTTAAGTGATATTGTATAAAGTATTTTACAATGTATGAAAAGAATTTAAGGTTCAGCTGGAAAGTAACATTTTGGTAAAAAATTGCTATACCTGCACATGTTATTTTCTGGTACAAAATTAAGTATGAAGTCATGTGTGTATTTCCTTGCTTTTTTCAGGAAAGTATCATTACACTGTTTACTTTTAGAATATCTGGAAACAGGTCAATGGAAGCTTCTGTGTTGTCTGGAAACTTTGAAAGAAAATTTGGAAAAATAGAAAGTGTGAAATATCAGAATTTCCTGGAGTTCCCATTGAACCCCTACCAGGTATTCTAAAAGAAGACAATGTAATGATACTTTCCTGAAAAAAGCAAGGAAATTGACACATGCCTTCATACTTTATTTTGTACCAGAAAATAACATGTGCAGGTATAGCAATTTTTTACCAAAATGTTACTTTCCAGCTGTACCTTAAGCCCAAGACGCAATTCATTGTGGCCGATTTATTTCATTCAAGCCTTGTTTCTTAAACTTTGCAGTCGATGCCCAGCATCTCAAGTTTGAAACTACACCTTTGAGAAATGATTATCATTCCACACTTCGCTGAGTCCAGGGCTTAAATCCTTAATGAATAAACGTTTTGTTACATATTCATGTTGGTTGGTTTTGGTTGTCATATTGGTTAGTTTGTCACTCACCAGACATTTCGCTTTACTGAAAGGCAATGTCATTGCTCAAAAGCCCAGATAACATAATTGAACATTATAAAGTGCCCCTTCATAATATGAAAGGACTCCTTTTTATGTCCCCACCACATAGTGTGGTGCCATATTGGCGGCCTAGCGTCCGTCTGTCTGTCTGTTCGTATGTCCGGCAGTTTTCTCAAAAACCGCTACAGATATCACCTTCAAATTTTCAGGGATAACTTATGAGTGCATACAGATGTGGATGAAAAAAATTAACTCGATACCTACTTCCTGTTGGCCATTTTGAAGTCAAATGCTAAAATCCTTGTCTGCAAACTTTAAGAAAAACAGCTTCACAGTTGCTTTTAAAACTTAAAATCTTTTTCAGCTCACTTCATTCTAGATCTGATTAGGTTTTGGACCTGTTAGCTCAATCATGTCAGCTATTTTGAATGTTTTAAGAAAAGCTAGCGCGCGATAATACTTTGTATCATATTAAATGGTGTTTTTCAGTTTTCATACTTTAACTATTTAGTAGCTTTATAAATAATTTCAGGTGTACTTTGTTGTAAAAGCCTATGTTATTGTTAACAGTAGTTATATGTGATAATTTTGTAAAAAGAAATCAGCAAAAACTCATAATCACTTTTTTATTGTCGGCCATTTTGGATTTTTCCATCCTAAAATCTTGTCTGAAAAGTCTTGTCTACGCGTTTTCAGGTGAACCGTTTGGTAGATCAATTTCAAAATTTCAGGGATGATTCTTAGTATGGAAATCTAGATCTGATTAGTTTTTGGGCATTCTGGGTAAATGTCAAGGCAGCCATTTTGGATTTTCCGTCCTAAAATCTTGTCTGTAAAGTCTTGTCTACGCATTTTCAGGTGAACCGTTTGGTAGATCAATTTCAAAATTTCAGGGATGATTCTTAGTATGAAAATCTAGATCTGATTAGTTTTTGGCATTCTGGGTAAATTTTAAGGTGGCCATTTTGGATTTTCCGTCCTCAAGTTGTGTCTGTAGAATCTTGTTTACATGTTTTCTGGTTAACTGTGCGACGGATCAATTTCAAATTTTCAGGGGTGGTTCTTAGTATGAAAATCTAGAACTGACAATTTTTTGCATTCTGGGTAAATTTTAAGGTGGCCATTTTGGATTTTCTGTCCTCAAATTGTGTCGGTAAAGTCTTGTCTACTCATTTTTAGGATAACCATTTGACGGGATCACCCATAGATGGGGACATTTTGTACACATTTGTGTTCTTGTATAAAGACATTGCCCACCCAAGATCTCGAGCAGTCTCAGATTGAATTTCATGCATGGAAACCACACATAAAATAATTGAGAATTTAAATCAAGGCTTGTCTCTGAGCTGATATTATGAAATGTCTGGTGTCTTAGGTCTGAGGTATGATATGACACATCCTGTGTCTGAAAAAAAATATGCAAGACTGTAAATGTTTTTATTATAAACAAATTGTATTTTGGTTGGTTGTCATATGTATCACACCAAATTATGTTAATTTGACATATTCAAAAGTATCTACATTACATTGTTTTGTACATGAATATTTTCCAGGACTCAACACATCTAGTATTACAACAAACAAGTCACTGGCCATTAGAAACAAATTGCACAAGCCAAGGAACTATAAATGCGAAACTTGTTGGAAAGCATTTACAAAGAGCAGCCACCTGAAGTATCATATGAACATCCACACTGGCGAAACACCTTACAAATGTACAATGTGTGATAAAGCATATCCTCAACCAGGCAACCTGTTGCAGCATAAGAAAAAACACCACTTCATCACATTCTAGTTTTAGAGTCAACATCATCTAATCTATAGCATTTTTCCGTCATGTAGTGATAGAACTAATGACTCTAATGGCAATAGACACCCCTGAGGTCACTTAAAGGATAAGTATCGATATGGTGAACTTTTTGAACACACATTTTTCTTAAACCAGTCATCACAAAATTCTGAAAATTTTACACATCGTCAATTTAATGATCATCTTTTGTCCTTTTCTTTATATTGTTTTAGAAAACACATCAGACACTTTTGTTCTGGTATCATATGTTTGGAATGAAATGAAACATCTATCTGAACCTCATTGGAACTATATGACACAAACACAACGTGTTTAGGTCTCTTAAATATTCTTATTGTACAAAGGAAAGTTTGGTTGATTTAAAAAAAGTATCGTGTTAATGATTAAAGGTTTATCTTAATTTTATTCGAATTTGGGGGTTTTTGTTTTAATTTTTTGAATACTTTTTGTTAAATCAACCAAAATTTCCTTTGTATAACTATAATATTGAGAGGTCTAAGAAAATGTTGTATATGCTATTTTGTTCCAACAAGGTTCGGAAAGATAATTTATTTCATTCTCAATAATTGATTAAAGAGAAAACGTTGTTGATATTCAGGTCACCATATTGATACCAATCCTTTTTTTGAAAAATGAAATGTTAATATCCTTGATAAACTGTGGATAAATACGTATGTTTTAAAGAAATAGCAATAAAAAACATTCAAGATTACTGATATATGTATGTTTTGGTTGATTCTGGAAGTATGTATCATCAGTTGCAGAGAATGTCTCCAGAAAGTATAAACCCAACTTGGCAGATGTCCCATTGTTTAATTGTGTCACCTAATACACTCATGGGATTAATATAGGGAACGCCTCCGTCCGTCCATCTGTCCGTATGTACGTCCGTCCATCCGTCTGTCTGTCCGTCCGTCCAGGCAATAACTCAAATACTGTTGGCCGATTCTGTTCATATTTGTACACAGGTACCCAATGTGGGTAAAAGTTCTGCTCAAAAAACCGATTTTCAAAATGGCTGCTCATTTAAAAATGGCGGCCATTTTAGTGCCAATTTTACAGTAATTTAGGTTCTGCATATAAAACTGTAATAGCCATATGTTTTGAATGTAAAAAAGTTATATAGGACATTGATTAAGCTAGAAATGTAAATAAAGAAGAAATACATGGCAGCCATCTTGAAAAATGGCTGCCTTCGCACGCCATTTTACGATTTTTGCTGTAACTTGAAAAGTAGTGGAGCGATTCTGTTCATATTTGGTATGTGAATACTTGAAGCATGGCACAATGTCTAATAACATTTTGGGTAGTATGCGGCCATTTTGAAAAATGGCCGTCATTTTTACAATGTCTAATAACATTTTGGGTAGTATGCGGCCATTTTGAAAAATGGCCGCCATTTTTACGTGTGTTTTTTTAACATATTTTAATGTAACTCAAAAAGTAGTGGAGCGATTTTGTTCATATTTGGTATGTGAATACTTTAAGCATGGCACAATGTCTAATGACGTTTTGGGTAGCAGGCGGCCATTTTGAAAAATGGCTGCCATTTTTACGTGTGCTATTTTACATTTTTTACTTTTACTCAAAAAGTAGTAGAGCGATTTTGTTCATATTTTATTTTGTTCATATTTTTTATGTGAATACTATAAGCATGGCACACTGTCTAATGACACTTTGGGTAGTAGGCGGCCATTTTGAAAAATGGCCACCATTTTTACGTTTTTTACTATAACTTGAAAAGTAGTGGAGCGATTTTGTTCATATTTGATATGTAAATACTCATGAGCCTTGCACACGGTCTCATGATACTTCGCATAGTAGGCGGCCATTTTAAAATGGCTATCATTTTTACATTTTTTACTATAATTCGAAAAGTATTGGAGCAATTTTGTTTGTATTTGATATGTGAATACTTTAAGCATGGCACATTGTCTAATAAAACTTTCGGGAGTAGTCGTCCATTTTGAAAAATGGCCACCATTTTCATGTGTGTTATTCTATATTTTTTATTATAACTCAAAAAGTAAGAGAGCGATTTTGTTCATATTTGATATGTGAATACTCGTAAGGATTGCAAACTGTCTTATGACATTTTGGGTAGTAGGCGGGCCTTTTTAAAAATGGCCACCATTTACATGTATGTGTGTGCAATTTTAAGAAAATTTATATGTGGCTACTAAAAAGCATATTACTTCTTCTGATGACAACTCAGCTAGTGAGCAATCATTTTGAAAATGGTGGCCTTTCTTATTAGCTCACATGGTGAGCTTTTGCAATCACTCACTTGTCCGTCTGTCTGTCCGTCTGTCTGTCCGTCCGTCCGTCCGTCCGTACGTCCGTCTGTCCGTCTGTCCGTCCGTCAACAATAGTGGCACGTTTTAAAACCTCTGTCGATAGGATTCCTGTTTTAAGTTATTTCTGTTCAACATCAATACAGAAAACTCCCCTATGACTCCTGGTTCAAAAGCTCGCCTATTTTCAAAATGGCCGTCACTTTTGTCTCGCGAAATTCACTTTTAGCCCATTTCCTAGCTAACCTCTGTCGATAGGATTCCTGTTTTAAGTTATTTCTGTTCAACATCAATACAGAAAACCCCCCTATGACTCCTGGTTCAAAAGCTCGCCTATTTTCAAAATGGCCGTCACTTTTGTCTCACGAAATTCACTTTTAGCCCATTTCCTAGCTAACCTCTGTCGATAGGATTCCTGTTTTAAGTTATTTCTGTTCAACATCAATACAGAAAACCCCCCTATGACTCCTGGTTCAAAAGCTCGCCTATTTTCAAAATGGCTGTCACTTTTGTCTCGCGAAATTCACTTTTGGCTCATTTCCTAGCTTTACAAATAATTTCAGGTGTCCTACATTGTAAAAATCCATGTCAATGTAAAGATTAGATATATGAAATAATTTTGTTACAAAAAATCAGCGAAAAATTGTATCCATTTTTTTATTTTCAGCCATTTTAGTTAACATTGATTTGTCTATCTGACTCGCGAAATCCACTTTCTGTCAATAACAGTGGCACGTTTTAAAACCTCTGTCGATAGGATTCCAGTTTAAGTTATTTCTGTTCAACATGAATTCAGAAAACTCCCCTATGACTCCTGGTTCAAAAGCTCGCCTATTTTCAAAATGGCCGCCATTTTTGTCTCGCGAAATTCACTTTTGACCCATTTCCTAGCTTTACAAATAATTTCAAGTGTCCTACATTGTAAAAATCCATGTCAATGTAAAGAGTATTTTCAAAATGGCCGTCACTTTTTATTTTCAGCCATTTTAGTTAACATTGATTTGTCTATCTGACTCGCGAAATCCACTTTCTGTGGCACGTTTTAAAACCTCTGTCGATAGGATTCCTGTTTTAAGTTATTTCTGTTTGAAACATCAATTCAGAAAACTCCCCTATGACTCCTGGTTCAAAAGCTCGCCTATTTTCAAAATGGCCACCATTTTTGTCTCGCGAAATTCACTTTTGACCCATTTCCTAGCTTTACAAATAATTTCAAGTGTCCTACATTGTAAAAATCCATGTCAATGTAAAGAGTAGATGTATGAAATAATTTTGTTACGAAAAATCAGCGAAAAATTATATCCATTTATTTATTTTCAGCCATTTTAGTTAACATTGATTTGTCCATCTGTCTCGCAAAATCCACTTTTGGACCATTTACCTTAAACCCTCTGTCGATAGGATTCCCATTTTAAGTCATTTTTGTTCAACATCAATACAAAAAACTCTCCTATGACTCTTGGTTCAAAAGCTCGCCTATTTTCAAAATGGTTGCCATTCTTGTTTCGCGAAATTCACTTTTTGCCCATTTCCTAGCTTTACAAATAATTTCAGCTGTCCTGCATTGTAAAAAGCCATGTCACTGTAAAAGGTAGTTGTATGAAATAATTTCGTTACAAAAAATCGGCAAAATATTATATCCGTTTTTTTTATTTTCAGCCATTTTAGTTAACATTGATTTGTCCATTTGTCTCGCGAAATCCTCTTTTGGACCATTTGCTTAAAACCTCTGTCGATAGGATTCCAGTTTCAAGTTATTTTTGTTCAACATCAATACAAAAAGAGTAGTTGTATGAAATAATTTTGTTGCAAATTATTGGCAAAAAATTATATCCGTTTTTTTTTCAGCCATTTTAATTGACTGAGAGACAGATGGCTTGAAATAATTTTGTAACAAAAATCAGCAAAAAATTTATATCCGTTTTTTCTGTCACCATGTGAGCCCAGTACCCACGGTACTAATTTTGTGTGTCATTTTATGATATTTGCTATATATTTTGTTTGTAAAAATGCAAGCCATTTCTGTTCGATGGGATTCGCTACGCTTTGGCATTGCCGTTGTTCTGGTTATGATTGTAATTGTGTTGACCTTATTTTTAGAGAAAGGAAAGTCATGATTAACTCTTGCTATGTTCATATATTGTCTGGTTCTGACCTAGAAAGTTATATGTAGTAGGAGGGAATGGTGTCCCTCTAACGTACTTCCTGAGATATGTAAAAATCTAGGTAAGGACTTTTATGCAATTTTCAGCATGAATTCTAAAACTTCTTAAAAATGTTTTAAAGGTTTCACAGATCCGCCAAAAAGATATTCATGATCTGTTCCATCCAAAATCTTAGGGACAATTTTTAATAATGTAATATAATGTAATGTAATATTTGTTCCTATGTATCAACTTATAATATTTGAACCAAATCTGTCCACTGGTGTTTGGGTTGTTCTATCCCCCTCGGTCAATAGAATAATTTCCTGAGGCCGATATCATATTTTCGCTCGGAATAAAATTCATATTCTAACCCTCCCATTACATCCAGTGCGTTAAAAACTGTTTTTAAGCAATATTGCCAAACTTTGGTTTATTAACCAGTTTTAATATTCTATCAAGAATGCTACATCTACAGGGTGTCAAATAAATACGTCCCCTTTGATTTTAAGAGTATAGACATCCACAACATTGACCCAGTCATCTGAAACAAAAATGTTAAGCAACATTTTGTCCGATGTTAAAGTTGAGGGGGAAGAATATATTTATTGGACACTCTGTACATTGTACAACTTTGGTTCTTGTTGGTATAATAGGCCAGTGTCCATAATTGATAAAAATTGATAACAGAATGGATTTTAGGCATTTTTAAGTGTTAAGGCTGCTGGTGTTTTGTTGAACATATTTTTAAAAATTACTTGGACTTCAAGCAAGCGTTGGTATGACTGTTTGTTCTAACATCGGTTCAATTT